AGCTCTGTGGTTGCTAGATGCCACCCTCTAAACCTCCAGTTCCCTCACAATGTATTTCATTTTCCAAGTCAAGGTAAACAATTCAATCACAAAGGGAAGTAAGCAAACAAAATGTAGTGAAATGTACATAAACATGAAAAAATGATATCAATAGGCGGATATTACACCATATCTTTTCATATAAACTCTGAGCTTGTCAAGTATTAACAAATGGCCAAACATACACGGCCAACGATCGTCAGTTCTAATTGATCTCTGGTGATAAGAAATAATGAACAGAAAACTAGATTACCCATAGCACAGTAGTGATAGCTGTGTACATAAGTAAGAGGTGGCCGGGGACGGATGGCGGGGGCCAGTTGTAACAATCACCTAACAGATCTCTGGTGGAAGCGGGGGGGGATTATTTTTTTTTGGGGGGGAGGGGCACGGGTCTCAAGTGGAGAGTTCCAAGTTGTGACTGGAGAGAGGGAAAATGTCTAAAACGGAGAGGGGACTTACCGGCGAGAGAGATGTGTGAGAGAGGGTGACCAAAGATAGATAACAAGGTTAAAACAGCTCCTGGACATGGATGGCTGGTGTCACTATATATAAATTATTGATGGTCAAGGGTGGATAGAGAGGGAATGTCGTCAGGTAGTCTAACGGTCTGTTTGTCTGTCTTTTCCGTGACTCACTCTCTCTCTCTCTATCTCTGTCTCTGTCTCTCTCTCTCTCTCTTTCTCTCTCTCTATCTCTCTCTCCCAATCTCTCTCTCTCTCTCCCACTCTCTCTCTCTCACTCTCTGTCCGCCGACCTGTCACAGTTCGTTAAGCGTGAATATGTGCAGAGGACAGTGAGCTGATCGTGAGCTCTGTGGTTGCTAGATGCCACCCTCTAAACCTCCAGTTCCCTCACAATGTATTTTATTTTCCAAGTCAAGGTAAACAATTCAATCACAAAGGGAAGTAAGCAAACAAAATGTAGTGAAATGTACATAAACATGAAAAAATGATATCAATAGGCGGATATTAGACCATATCTTTTCATATAAACTCTGAGCTTGTCAAGTATTAACAAATGGCCAAACATACACGGCCAACGATCGTCAGTTCTAATTGATCTCTGGTGATAAGAAATAATGAACAGAAAACTATTTTACCCATAGCACAGTAGTGATAGCTGTGTACATAAGTAAGACGTGGCCGGGGGACGGATGGCGGGGGCCAGTTGTAATAATCACCTAACAGATCCCTTGGGGGGGGGGGGGAGGGGGGGGCGGGCACGGGCCTCAAGTGGAGGGTTCCAAGGTTTGACTGGAGAGAGGGAAAGTGTCTAAAACGGAGAGGGGACTTACCGGCGAACCTGGCACTGTGGGGGATCAGCCGGACCAACAGGGAGCCTCAAGTGGAGGATTGGAAGATGTGAGAGAGAGGGTGACCAAAGATAGATAACAAGGTTAAAACAGCTCCTGGACATGGATGGCTGGTGTCACTATATATAAATTATTGATGGTCAAGGGTGGATAGAGAGGGAATGTCGTCAGGTAGTCTAACGGTCTGTTTGTCTGTCTTTTCCGTGACTCACTCTCTCTCTCTCTCTCTCTCTCTCTCTCTCTCTCTCTCTCTCTCTCTCTCTCTTTCTCTCTCTCTCTTTCTTTCTCTCTCTCTCTCTCTCTCCCACTCTCTCTCTCCCACTCTCTCTCTCTCACTCTCTGTTCGCCGACCTGTCACAGTTCGTTAAGCGTGAATATGTGCAGAGGACAGTGAGCTGATCGTGAGCTCTGTGGTTGCTAGATGCCAACCTCTAAACCTCCAGTTCCCTCACAATGTATTTCATTTTCCAAGTCAAGGTAAACAATTCAATCACAAAGGGAAGTAAGCAAACAAAATGTAGTGAAATGTACATAAACATGAAAAAATGATATCAATAGGCGGATATTACACCATATCTTTTCATATAAACTCTGAGCTTGTCAAGTATTAACAAATGGCCAAACATACACGGCCAACGATCGTCAGTTCTAATTGATCTCTGGTGATAAGAAATAATGAACAGAAAACTAGATTACCCATAGCACAGTAGTGATAGCTGTGTACATAAGTAAGAGGTGGCCGTGGGATGTAACAATCACTTAACAGATCCCTGGTGGTGGTGGTGGTTGGGTAGGGGTTTTTTTTTTGGCGGGGAGGGGCACGGGCCTCAAGTGGAGGGTTCCAAGTTGTGACTGGTGAGAGGGAAAGTGTCTAAAACGGAGAGGGGACTTACCGGCGAACCTGGCACTGTGGGGGATCAGCCGGACCAACAGGGAGCCTCAAGTGGAGGATTGGAAGATGTGTGAGAGAGGGTGACCAAAGATAGATAACAAGGTTAAAACAGCTCCTGGACATGGATGGCTGGTGTCACTATATATAAATTATTGATGGTCAAGGGTGGATAGAGAGGGAATGTCGTCAGGTAGTCTAACGGTCTGTTTGTCTGTCTTCCGTGACTCACTCTCTCTCTCTCTATCTCTCTCTCTCTCTTTCTTTCTCTCTCTCTATCTCTCTCTCCCGCTCTCTCTCTCTCTCCCACTCTCTCTCTCTCACTCTCTGTCGCCGACCTGTCACAGTTCGTTAAGCGTGAATATGTGCAGAGGACAGTGAGCTGATCGTGAGCTCTGTGGTTGCTAGATGCCACCCTCTAAACCTCCAGTTCCCTCACAATGTATTTCATTTTCCAAGTCAAGGTAAACAATTCAATCACAAAGGGAAGTAAGCAAACAAAATGTAGTGAAATGTACATAAACATGAAAAAATGATATCAATAGGCGGATATTACACCATATCTTTTCATATAAACTCTGAGCTTGTCAAGTATTAACAAATGGCCAAACATACACGGCCAACGATCGTCAGTTCTAATTGATCTCTGGTGATAAGAAATAATGAACAGAAAACTAGATTACCCATAGCACAGTAGTGATAGCTGTGTACATAAGTAAGAGGTGGCCGGGGACGGATGGCGGGGGCCAGTTGTAACAATCACCTAACAGATCCCTGGTTGGGGGGGGGGCACGGGTCTCAAGTGGAGGGTTCCAAGTTGTGACTGGAGAGAGGGAAAGTGTCTAAAACGGAGAGGGGACTTACCGGCGAACCTGGCACTGTGGGGGATCAGCCGGACCAACAGGGAGCCTCAAGTGGAGGATTGGAAGATGTGTGAGAGAGGGTGACCAAAGATAGATAACAAGGTTAAAACAGCTCCTGGACATGGATGGCTTGTGTCACTATATATAAATTATTGATGGTCAAGGGTGGATAGAGAGGGAATGTCGTCAGGTAGTCCAACGGTCTGTCTGTCTGTCTTTTTCGTGCCTCAATCTCTCTCTCTCTCTTTCTCTCTTCCTCTCTCTCTTTCTCTCTCCCCCCCCACCTCTCCCTCTCTCTCTCTCCCACTCTCTCTCTCCCACTCTCTCTCTCCCACTTTCTCTCTTACTCTCTCCCCCTCTTCCCTCATCCCCTTACATAGTGGGGACA